TAAAATTTGAGTATAGTTGACATATAATGTTATATAATAATTCCGCTATTTAGTGTTTACACAAAGGAAATGAAAATACTAATTTGAAAAGATACATGCACCCCTATGTTTATTGCACCATTATTTACAATAACCAGGATATGGAAACAACCTAAATGTCCATCAATAGAGAAATGGATAAGGAAGATGTGGTAAATATATATAATGGAATATTACACAGCCATAAAAAGGATGAGCTTGCGCCATTTGAGATAACATGGATGGACTTAGAGGGTATTATTCTAAGTGAAATAAGTCAGACTGAGAAAGACAATACCATATGACTTCGCTCATAAGTGGAATATAAAACAATAACAAAACAACAATGAATGAATAAACAAACAAAAAACAGAATCAGACCTATAAATACAGAGAACAAACTAATGGTTGCCAGAGGGGAGGAGGTTAGAGGGTTGGGCAAAATGGGTGAAGGGGAGTGGGAGATACAGTCTTCTGGTTATGGAATAAGTAAGTCATGGGATTAAAAGACACAGCATAAGGGATACAGTCAATGATATTGTAATGGCGATGTATTGGGACAGACGATAGCTACACTTGTGGTGAACATAGCATAAGGTATAAACTTGTTGAATCATTTTATTCATATGCCTTGATCATTTATTCCTAAATGTGTCAAAGAGATCATACCAGTGGAGATACCAGGAACACTGATTCAGGGCAAGTGTCATGACTACTTGGACAATTTGGAATTGCCATAGCTCTATAATCAACATTTTCAGTTACCTTTTGATTAAGTAACAAAAAGAATTCTGAAAAATGTTAATGGTTCTGCTTCAACGTTTAACAACATGTTGCATTCGTTGCTTCATTCATTAATTCGGCAGGCATTTGTTGAGCATTTACTGTATCAAGTATTTTTCACTGTTCATATTCTACTTTCTAAAACTAGCATTTTGCCATCTTTATTTCTTAGGCATTTTGAGTATGTTCCAAAAGTAATAGTGTTTTTTTATGCTTTGCTACTCAAAGAGTGGTCATTGGGCCAGCGGCATTGGCAACATCTGGGAGCTTGTTAGAAATGCAGAATCTCAGGCTCCATTCCAGACTTGCTGAATCAGAATCAGGATTGCTAGGTGATTCGATGCACATTAAAATTTAACAAGTACATATATAGCATATGGATGGTTACCATCTGTGTATGTGTGTGTGTTTTTAAAACAATTGAGTACTTTTACTCATTCAGCTACTTTCTTAGAGACTCCCTTTCATGTGAAAGCAATTATGGGAATATCCTTAGACAATCTTTTCTATTTTTAAAATTCTATGAAAAAATTATAAAACACAGGAGTAAGTAAATACTCTTCATTTACAGAAAGATGCAAGTAAAAGACTGCTAGAAGTGGAGCTTAAGTGGTTTTCATATCTGCTAAAATTTTCACAAAAGATTTGTAATTTTTAAAAATAGGTTTTTATGAGAGACCTTGCTGCAAAGTCTGCTGTATGGGAAGATTTTATTTTTTTAATTTATTTTATTTTATTTTATTTTTTTTAAAGATTTTATTTATTTTATTTGAGAGAGAGAGAATGAGAGACAGAGAGCATGAGAGGGAGGAGGGTCAGAGGGAGAAGCAGACTCCCCACCGAGCAGGGAGCCCGATGCGGGACTCGATCCCGGGACTCCAGGATCATGACCTGAGCCGAAGGCAGTCGCTTAACCAACTGAGCCACCCAGGTGCCCCTAACTCCTTGCTTCTAAACCATTAGGCAAATGAATCACCTGGGGATCTTGTTAACAGTGTTGGATTCAATAAAGCTGGGTGGGACCCAAGAACCTGCATTTCTAAGACAATTCCCAGGTGATGTCCATGCTGCTAGATAACAGACCACATTTTTTCAGTAGCAAGGCTCTACTTGATTAACATTAGCATTAATCAGGACACTGTGCTTTAAGAAGAAAGGCACAGAACAGGACTTGCTCCTGTCCAACTCAAGGGGAACCAAAGAACCAAACTCTAGTCAACTTTCCACTTTTTTTTTTAAATTTTATTTATTTATTTGAGAGAGAAAGAATGAGAGACAGAGAGCATGAGAGGGAAGAGGATCAGAGGGAGAAGCAGACTCCCCGCTCAGCAGGGAGCCTGATGCGGGACTCGATCCTGGGACTCCATCCTGGGACTCCAGGATCATGACCTGAGCCGAAGGCAGTCGCTTAACCAACTGAGCCACCCAGGCGCCCGGGAAGATTTTAATACAGAAGTGGTTTTGGTACATTTTCCATAGGTGAATGATAAAGTCATATCTGAAACCCATGGAAAATCATGCTTAGTTCTCATCCTGTCCTCTCTTTATTTTTGCAAAGGAAGTATGAAGTAAACTGATGCTCTCAAATCAAATTATTACTCTTTTAGAATAAATAGTAGTTTGATATCTGGGTTTTTTTTCTGGTTGTTTGATTACCTAGAGATTAAAGAAAAAGACTTTTGGAAAAGTCAGTTGGCTACTCCTAATATGAGGAGGAACTGATGACAATTTTATTTCTTTTATTTAAGTACAAGTGTACCTCACTCAAGGGTAGCAAATTAGAATGTAGATTTGTCAGTAATGTTTTTTTTTTTTTTTAAAGATTTTATTTATTTATTTGAGAGAGAGAGAATGAGAGAGAGCACATGAGAGGGGGGAGGGTCAGAGAGAGAGGCAGACTCCCTGCTGAGCAGGGAGCCCGATGCGGGACTCGATCCCGGGACTCCAGGATCATGACCTGAGCCGAAGGCAGTTGCTTAACCAACTGAGCCACCCAGGCGCCCCAAAGTTTTGGCTTTTTTTTTTGTCAGTAATGTTTTAAGTAGTGTTTATAAAGACTGAATTGCATATTTTATTAGCACAGAGTAATTTTTATGACTTAGTAAATGAGAATAGAAAATGTGCTTTGGTGAATTTTTTATTAAAGCTTAAAATATTTTAATATTTTTATTGCTTAAAATAGTTGCCAGGAGAAATACATCATAGGTAGAGAGAACAGCAAGTGCAAAGAGCCTGAGAAGGGAATGAGCTAAATATAGTTCATTAATTTGGATTGTGAACATTCAAATAAAATTACTTTATCTAAATAGTGTGAAGCAGATGTGAAGAGAATGTAAATGCTACTTTTTGAGTGGAGTGCTTTTTTTTTAAAAAGATTTTATTCATTTATTTGAGAGAGAATGAGATAGAGCATGAGAGGGGGGAGGGTCAGAGGGAGAAGCAGACTCCCCGCCGAGCAGGGAGCCCGATGCGGGACTCGATCCCGGGACTCCAGGATCATGACCTGAGCCGAAGGCAGTCGCTTAACCAACTGAGCCACCCAGGCGCCCGAGTGGAGTGCTTTTAAGTATAGCGGTGAATCAAAGTGTGAGATCATCAATAGTCAACTTTATTTTCTGGTGTGACAAAAGTTTCTTGTGTGTTGGTTATTTTTTTTTTTTTTTAAGATTTTATTTATTTATTTTAGAGAGAGAGAGAGAGCATGAGCAGGGGGAGGAGCAGAGGGAGAGGGACAAGAAGACTCCATGCTGAGCACAGAGCCCAAATCGGGGCTCCATCCTAGGACTCTGAGATCATGATCTGATGTTTAACCAACTGAGCCACCCAGGCGCCCCTGGTTATTCTTTAGTAAACTAGATGTTTCAATGTTCTTTGGCTATGATTGTGAGACCTGACTAATAATACTGGGATTTTGAGATCAAGAGACTAGAAACCCAACAATTTTGAAATATGTGAGCTCTAGGGGCGCCTGAGTGGCTCAGTCGTTAAGCGTCTGCCTTCGGCCCAGGTCATGATCCCAGGGTCCTGGGATTGAGTCCCGCAACAGGCTCCCTGCTCTGCGGAAGCCTGCTTCTCCCTCTCCCACTCCCCCTGCTTGTGTTCCCTCTCTCGCTGTGTCTCTCTCTGTCAAATAAATAAAATCTTTAAAAAAAAAAAAAAAAAAGAAATATGTGAGCTCTATAGCCTGCCGTCTCACTTTTGCTCTCAGCATTTGCTTTCTAAATCTGTCTTCTCTAAACTTTATTTTCTTTTTAAGATTTTATTTATCTGAGAGAGACAGAGATAGCAAGAGAGAGAACAAGCTGGGAGGAGAGAGAGAAGCAGACTCCCTGCTGAGCAGGGAGCCCAATGCGGGGCTTGATCCCAGGATTCTGGGATCAGGGTCCTGAGCCAAAGGCAGATGCTTAACCTAATGAGCCACCCAGGCACCCCTAAATCTGTCTTCTGTATTTTGTTTCTTTATTTTTCTATTTTTCACTATTGTAATAACTTCACTGTCTACACTTAAAAATGCCGAGCATTGAAAATCATATTTTTCAGAAGGAAAAAAGGTCTTAAGGAACTTAAAGGAGGATACTTCTGCAAAAGACTGTAATTTAGTATTATAACATGAAAATTTAAGGATTTTTTGGTGATTATTTTAATCATATACTTGTCACTGTTGTCTGATAAGTGATCAGAATTCTGCATTTGCTGTTCTTAATAGAGAAGTCTATGCATTCTAAGAAATATAAAGAAAAAGAACAATAAAGAGTTGGGGACCTTTTAATCTCATCATTTCTCGCAGTATAGAGACATTGGCAAAGGATAATTCCTGCAAACTTTGCACCTTTATTAGATTGATACCCTCAAAGCATAGTATACAAATATCTTTTTTAGGAAGGATAAAATGGTATTTGCTATATACAGTTCAGTGCATTGAATTTGAAATATGCATTTCACTAAGTTGGCCTCAGGGATAAGGTAATTTCTCCATGTGCATATATTTAGCAAGTCAAAGCATTAATAATTTATTCAGGATGTATAGGTGAGATATTTTTGTATTTTAATGGAAAGTCTCATGCTTAATGGACTGGAGTACTGTCTGTTGGTGATTAAATATCCAAATATTAATTTTGGCACACTTGACATGATTTAGGGTTTTGCCTACAGTAATTGGTTTTGATTATAAGAGCTCCCCTTTTCTGTCTTTTTAATAGCAACATCATGACAACAGAGAAGAGTTTAGTGGCTGAAGCTGAAAATTCACAGCACCAACAACAGAAGGAAGAAGGTGAGGGAGCCACAAATTCAGGCCAACAAGAAACTCAGCTGGAAGAGGCTTCTCAAGAGGCAGCTGAGGGAGATAATCAGTGTGAGCAGAAGCTGAAAACATCTAATGGAGATACTCCTACACATGAAGACTTAACCAGAAACAAGGAGCGGACATCAGAAAATAGGGGCCTGTCACGGCTGTTCTCCTCATTTCTCAAAAGGCCAAAGTCTCAGGTTTCTGAGGAAGAAGGCAAAGACATAGAGTCAGCTAAAGAGAAATGTGAAGGAGGTCAGAAAGAGATAGAATTTGGACCCAGTCTTGATGAAGAGATCATTTTAAAAGCCCCAATTGCAGCTCCTGAACCTGAACTCAAAACAGACCCATCCTTGGATCTTCATTCATTAAGCAGTGCAGAAACACAGGTAAGGATGTGCGAATGTGTGGGAGGTGTGTAATGAAGACAAGTTATACAGTTTATTTTTCACTTAATAACATTTGGTGTTATTTCTTACTAACCAGTTGACTTAGGCATTAATAGGAATAAGTAACATGAAGCTTTGGAATTTCTGTTGTAAAGAAATTAATGTAGTCAATGGAAACTTGACTTTTTAAAAGATATACTCTATACATTTATATTTACGTTTTATAAATCAAAGAAAACAAAATGAAAGAAAAGTATTTATCAAATGAGTTTATTCAGGCTATGTATTAGTTAGCTGTGATAATAGAACAAATCTAAGATTTTTAATGGGGGGGGAATTACATGGTTTAAAGTTCATTTTGTTGGAATTATTAGGAATGGGACAGTTTATCTGCAAACGTGGTCCTTTTATGAAAATCCTCAAAAAAGCCATGTACTAGATTCAAGCCATCCAGAGGTATGTGCTAGGTTTGAGCCATCCCTGCCTTATTTTTATTGTTTTCTCCAACCAGATCATATTACCAGAGTGTAAGTTATAGATAAGGAAGGCTAGCTTTTTATATAACCTTTGTAGTATACAGTAGTCTGGGGCCTTAACTGTCAGTTATGCCTTGCTATTCAAAGAGTGGTCATTGGGTTAGCAGCATTGGCAACCTCTGGGAGCTTGTCAGAAATGCAGAATCTCGGGCTCTACTTCAGACTTGCTGAATCAGAATCTGTATTTTAGTAAAGATTTCTGGGTAATTTGATGCACATTAAAATTTAACAGTACATATATAGCATGTACTAAACATGAGTTGTGAATTTATTTATTGTCCAAAAAAACATTTATAACTGAAACTATTTTCTAGGAATCCCATTTGCTTTTAGCCTTAATACCTACAAATTAAAAACTATTTTAAAGGTGTTTTTATTTCTGAAGCATGTGAGCATTATTTGCATTTTTTTTTTTTAAAGATTTTATTTATTTATTTGACAGAGAGAGACACAGCAAGAGAGGGAACACAAGCAGGGGGAGTGGGAGAGGGAGAAGCAGGCTTCCGCAGAGCAGGGAGCCTGTTGCGGGACTCAATCCCAGGACCCTGGGATCATGACCTGGGCCGAAGGCAGACGCTTAACGACTGAGCCACCCAGGCGCCCCGCATTGCATTGTTAAAAGTATAAATCCTATATGTTTTGTTATAGGTCTCAGGTTTGGGGTACACGGTTTTATTAGATTTTTCTAAAAATATTACATGTATTTCTAGAAATATTACTTGTATATTAAAAGTGGTAACAGTAAAATTTAAGATAAAGTTGTAATTACATCCTTGCTGTTTGTGAAACAAAGTTGAAAAGATTTACTGTATAGTGTAATAGTATATATAGTATATATAGTATATATTATATATTTATATTATTATATATATTATATATTATATATATATATTATATATAGTGTATAGTGTAATAGTTTAACATGCAGGCTATATGGGGCACCTGGGTGGCTCAGTCAGTTAGTGTCTGCCTTTGGCTTAGGTCATGATCCCAGAGTCCTGGGATCGAGCCCCGCATTGGGTTCTCTGCTTACCGGGGAGCCTGCTTCTCCCTCTCCCTCTGCCTGCTGCTCTGCCTACTTGTGCTCTTTCTCTCTGTTAAATAAATAAATAAAATCTTTAAAAATAAATAAATAAACATGCAGGTTATGAAATCAGTCTAGAAAATCAAACTGAGTGACACTTTTGCTTTATCAGTTTCCTCCTCTGTGCAGTGAGGATAAAATTCACCTCCTTTGGCTATTAGAGGATTAAACAAGATAAACATGCAAAATTCTTAAGACATTGCCTGCCAGTCATTAAATGTTAGTTATTATTACTCAGTTAATCAACATGAACAGTAAAGGCAAAGAAACCCTATGTATCTTAATATCATTAATTTTATTCAAAGGAGTTATATTACCTTTCAGGAAGCCTTTACTTTGAGGAAGTTTTTAACTGCCTTTTTTCTCCTCTGCTTTATGTAGGGAAAAACCCATATTTTGTTTTAGTTAGCATTTGAATCAGGGCTAGTCTGTTTCATCTAAAGATCATAGCATTTGTATGAAGTTGAAACAGATGATGGACGAAGTTAATTTTAGATTTAACTAAAGTCTCATTCATTGAAACTTTATCAAATCAGAATTGTGATAAATTGTGTACAGGTGTTTATATATAAAGAAAAAGAAAATAAATTAGTACTGTTAATAAATTTCAAGGAGATATTGTTTAAAGGAGAAAACTATTTTGGGCTTTTTAGAAGCTAGTAATTATAATCAAAACCTTGTGGATCAGAACCTTGTAGGTAAAGGTTTATTTGGCCATTTTTCTATATGTGTGATAGAGTTTCACTCGAGTGGTCCTTTTCTATCGAGGTTTGTATTTTATTTTATTTGATTTTTTTAAAAGATTTTATTCATTTGTCAGAGAGAGAGAGAGCTTGCGTGAGTGAGCACACAAGCAGGGGGAGTGGCAGGTAGAGGGAGAAGCAGGCTCCCCGCTGAGCAAGGAGTCCAGTGCGGGACTCAATCCCAGGATCCTGGGATCATGACCTGAGCTGGAGGTAGACGGTTAACCGACTGAGCCACCCAGGCGTCCCTCGATCCAGGCTTTTTAAAAAGTAAGTTTGTATCATAGGACTGTACCATTCTTTATGTATGGTAGCTTGGATTTTTTGGAAACCATACATCAGTTTTTAATGTTCACTTATTCATTCAACAAGTATTTATTGAAAACCTACTATGCGTGCCAGGCCCTGGGCTGGATATCATTGGTACAATATGACAAAGAGGTTTAAGATCATGAATTCTGGAGCCAGACTGGTATGTAACTTATTAATTGAATGATGCTGGATGAGTTACTTTAACTTCTCGGGCTTCAGTTTCTTTCTTTTTTTTAAATTTTAATTCCAGTATATAGTGTTATATCAGTTTCAGATGTACAATATAGTAAATTGACAGTTCTGTACATTACTTAGTGCTCATCACGATAAGTGTTCTTGATCCCTTTTACCTATTCTTTTTTTTTGCAATTGGATTATTTTTATTTTTTTTCATATCATAAACTTAATTTCTTTTTTTAAATTTTATTTTAATTCCAGTATAGTTAACATGCAGTGTTATATTAGTTTGAGGTGTATAATATAATGATTCAGCAATTCCATATATTAGTGCTCATCAAGATAAGTGTGCTCTTAATCCCCCATCCCCTAGTTCCACCATTCCCCACCCCCACAAACCATCTGTTTGTTCTCTATAGTTAAGAGTCTGTTTTTTTGGCTTGTCTCTCTTTTTCTTTTCCCTTTGTTTGTTTTGTATCTTAAATTCCACATATGAGTGAAATCATATGGTATTTGTTTTTCTCTGACTGATTTACTTTACTTAGCATTGTATTCTCTAGATCCATCCATGTTGTTGCAAATGCCAGGGTTTCATTCTTTTTTATGGCTGAATACTATTCCGTTGTAGATATATGCCACATCTTCTGTATCCATTCATCTATCGATGGACACTTGGGCTGCTTCCATAATTTGGCTATTGTACATAATGCTGCATTAAACATAGGGGTTCATATTCTTTGGGTAAATACCCAGTAGTGCAATTACTGGATTATAGTGTAGTTCTATTTTTAACTTTTTGAGGAAACTCCCTCTTGTTTTCCACAATGCCTACATTGTGTACACCAGTTTGCATTTCCACCATCACTGCACAAGGGTTCCTTTTTCTCCATGTCCTTGTCAACACTTGTTGTTTCTTGTGTTTTTTATTTTAAAGATTTTATTTGTAAGTAATCTCTACACCCAGGGTGGGGCTTGAACTCACAACCCCAAGATTAAGAGTTGAGTGCTCCACTGACTGAGCCAGCCAGGCACCCCGTGTTTTTGATTTTAGCCATTCTGATAGGTGCGAGGTGATACCTCATTGTGGTTTTGATTTACAATTCCCTGATGAGTGATGTTGAGCATCTTTTCATGTGTCTGTTGGCCATCTGGATGTCTTCTTTGGAGAAATGTCTGTTCATGTCTTCTGCCCATTTTTTTTTTTTAAAGATTTTTTTATTTTTATTTATTTGAGAGAGAGAATGAGATAGAGAGAGAGATCATGAGGGTCAGAAGGAGAAGCAGACTCCCTGCCGAGCAGGGAGCCCAATGCGGGACTCGATCCCGGGACTCCAGGATCAGGACCTGAGCCGAAGGCAGTTGCTTAACCAACTGAGCCACCCAGGCGCCCCATGCCCATTTTTAAATTGGATTATTTGTGGGATTTGGTTTTATGTAAGTTTTTTAAATACATATATATATTTTAAAGATTTTATTTATTTGACAGAGAGAGCACAAGTAGGCAGAGCAGCAGGCAGAGGGAGAGGGAGAAGCAGACTCCCCACTGAGCAGGGAGCCTGACACGGGACTCAATTCCAGGATCCTGGGATCATGACTTGAGCAGAAGGCAGACTCTTAACTGACTGAGCCACCCACGCACCCCTTAAATATATTTTTGATGCTAACCTTTTATCGGATATGTCATTTGCAAATATCTTCTCCCATTCAGTAGTTTATCTTTTAGTTCAAAAAAATTTTTCTTATTGTTATGTTAATCACCATACATCACATCATTAGTTTTTGATGTAGTGTTCCATGATTCATTGTTTGTGCATAACACCCAGTGCTCCATGCAGAACGTGCCCTCTTTAATACCCATCACCAGGCTAACCCATCCTCCCACCCCCTCCCTTCTAGAACCCTCAGTTTGTTTTTCAGAGTCCATCGTCTCTCATGGTTCATCTCCCCCTCCGATTTCCCCCCCCTTCATTCTTCCCCTCCTGCTGTCTTCTTCTTTTTTTTCTTTTTTTTTTTTTAAGATTTTATTTATTTATTTGAGAGAGAGAGACTGAGAGAGAGAGCACATGAGAGGGGGGAGGGTTGGGAGGGTCAGAGGGAGAAGCAGACTCCCTGACGAGCAGGGAGCCCGATGCGGGACTCGATCCAGGGACTCCAGGATCATGACCTGAGCCGAAGGCAGTCGCTTAACCAACTGAGCCACCCAGGCGCCCTTCTTCTTTTTTTTCTTAACATATATTGCATTATTTGTTTCAGAGGTACAGATCTGTGATTCAACAGTCATGCATAATTCACAGCGCTCATCATAGCACATACCCTCCCTGTGTCTATCACCCAGCCCCCCATCCCTCCCACCCCACCCCCCACTCCAGCAACCCTCAGTTTGTTTCCTGAGATTAAGAATTCCTCATATCAGTGAGGTCATATGATACATGTCTTTCTCTGATTGACTTATTTCGCTCAGCATAACACCCTCCAGTTCCATCCATGTCGTTGCAAATGGCAAGATCTCATTCCTTTTGATGGCTGCATAATATTCCATTGTGTATATATACCACATCTTCTTTATCCACTCATCTGTCGATGGACATCTTGGCTCTTTCCACATCTTTTAGTTTTGTTGATTGTTTCCTTTGCTGTGCAGAAGGTTTTTATTTTGATGTAGTCCCAATAGTTTATTTTTGCTTTTGTTTCCTTTGCCTCAGGAGATATATCTAGAAAAATGTTGCTATAACTCTGGCCTCTGTTTCTTATCTCTCAAGTGGGAATAACAATAGTCCCCTCCCCACAGGGTTATTATGAGGATAAAGTGAGTTCATATAAGTAATGCTTTTAGAATAGTAACTGATCCATTTTAATTGTTATATAGTGTTGTTGTTGTTGTTATAAAACAAACATCCCTACTCTTGATGACTTTATAGTCTAATGGAAGAGACAAAAAAGTAGTAAATACAAAATATTTATTATAACAAATGTTACGAAGGCAGTAAATGGGGTACTGACACGAATAGCAGAATGGGGATAGGATAGCCAATTGAAGGCCTCTCTGAAGAGGTCACATAAAAGGGTCATAAAGGATAAGAAGGAGCCTTTTAGACCACCTCCAATATCTAATTCAGGAGCTAAATAATTAGGTCCTTTTTCCTTTGTCAACCATATATTCTGAAAGAAAAGAATTAGTGAGGTTTAGTTAAGAATCTTTCAGCAGTTTTATTATGTTGGAAGTAAGAAAGTATGTGCCAAAATGTTGTTTCACTTACCTGTATAACTTTGGGATAACTTCATGATAACCCTAGGAAACTCAGATTTCAATGTCTCTTGCTTCTTTGAATCTTCTTTGCATTGAGCATGATAGATAAATGATAGAAAAGAGTTAACTTATAGTTACAGTTGTTAGCCTAGTTTATATGTTGCTTTATGCTCTAAAATTGATCCCAAGACTCCCTTTAGCCATTCATAAGATTTAGAATATGTGATAAATCACATCTCATTTTGCAATTCATAAAGCTACCTTGCTAAAATTGAGGAGCATGGGGCAGAGATGGTAAGGTTTTGATAAACTTTAATAATGTATAATGGTGGGATGCCTGGGTGGCTCAGTTGGTTAGGTGTCTGCCTTCGGCTCAGGTCATGATCCTAGGGTCCTGGAATCAAGTCCCACATTGGGCTCCCTGCTCAGCAGGAAGCCTGCTTCTCCCTCTGCCTCTGCTGCTCCCCCTGCTTGTGCTCTGTCTCTCTCTCTGACAAATAAATAAAATCTTGAAAAAAATAATATATAATGGCATAGTCAGGAAAAATACATAATGCTGAGAGCAACAGATTGGTGTCCTGTAGTTTACCTAAAACCTTCATTTATTGATTTGAAAGATAGGATTCTACCTGAGAAGTTTTAAGGATAGCATAGTGAGTGTATAGATCTTTTAGAAGATCATAATATCTTTTATTAATAATTTATTTAATCTTAATATCACTTATATTTGTTTTGTTTTTCTTCTTCACTGCATTTATTGGTAGCATTATTATAGTTATTAAAATGTATACAGCATATTTTGTGAAATGTCTTTATTACTGACTTGATGTCATGGATATGCAGCCTGCTCAGGAAGAACACAGAGAGGATCCAGACTTTGAAACTAAGGAAGGAGGAGGCCTTGAAGACTGCTCTAAAATAGAAGTAAAAGAAGAAAGTCCTGACTCAAAAGCAGAAAGAGAATTAAAAGCTTCCCAGAAATCAATCAGAAGACACAGAAACATGCATTGCAAGGTTTCTTTGTTGGATGACACAGTTTATGAATGTGTTGTGGAGGTGAGTGCATTTTAATTTCCATAGTCAGAACTCTTACGGATTGTTTCATGTAGGGTTGAATAAGTAGTGCCAGTGACTGTTTCTATGAACTGAAATGTTAATAGGGATTTTCTGGAAGTGGAGGCCTGGAAGGATTATGACTGAGTCTTATTTTTTTCTCCAGTTTTTTCTGTATCTGCCAAAACTTGTGAATTGAGCATGTGTTACTTTTATAATCCAAAACAATTTTGTTTAAAAACAATTGGTTTTTATTTATAGAGTGACCTGCCATGACTAGATTTTCCAGGTAGCCTCAGTTTCTGATATTAGGTCTAGCTATTCCCATAATTATATTTGTAAAAAAGTTACGGTGTGGTCATTTCTGCTGTCCCAGATCTAAACCTTAATAAGCCTTGATTTATTCAATGCATTTCTTTAGCCCTATGAAATAGGATATAAACAATTTAAATCAAGTAATGCCATTTTTTAAAATACTCTGTTATTTTCTGTAATTGAGTCAGGATTGAATAAAAAATGTCAGTTACTTGGTTATTCTTTTGCTCCTTCAAGACAAGTTAAAATCCTTAAAAGTCTACTAACCATTTTTTTTAACTAGAGCAGTAATTATCAATTATGATATGCTTGATATAAAGCAATTGTGATTATTACTAATAATAGCCTTTATCGATAAGACATATAATTCACATATACTTGTATTTTAGGTATGTAATTATGAATTGAATTATCTATATGCAAATGCAAATATATCAAAGCACTAATAATCTAAAATATCACCTTATATCTATTAATAGACATTCCCTCTCCCAAGTTTCAAAGAATAAATCAAGAAAAATACACTATTGCACTTTGAAAATAGCTGCTGTACCTGGTAAACTACCAGAGACCTATGGTCTGCTCTTTCTGCTTCTCACCACTAGCTAGCTGAGAGATGGGAAAAGCTATTCCGCACATTCTTCCCATTCAGACCAAGGTCCAGATCTGGGTTTTCTATACCTGAAATATTTGGGGGCAGATATATTTCAGAATTCAGAATATTTTGGGTTTTAGAAAGGCAGTAAGTACTTATGCTACATATTTCATAACACACCCAGGAGGGTGTGTGGCAATACCAAGATTCATTCTAAGGTAGGTACATGAAGACCATAAATAGCCTCATAACAGTTCAGGTCAGGATTTGCCTTCAAATGAACTTTGGAATCCTCCCCCCCCGCCCACCAAAAAGCCTAAAATTTTACTTTTTAGAGCTTCTGGATTTTGTAATTATAAATAAGGGAGTAGGGACCTGTACGTGAAGAATTCCCAAACCATTTCTGTCATTTGGAGTGAAAACATAAGAGGGAAAAATGAAGAAAATGATTACTATAGATGGGTTAAGTCTGAAAATGAATTAACATCTATGTGAATTACTAACAGTCATTAAAAATAACTGTTCATTGAGAGGACGTGTGTGTGTCAAAAATGATTTGTAATTTTTTTGACGTATTTAAAAAATATATTTCTCAGAGGTCATTAGCATGTTTGATTTTTTTCAACAATTCCAGTAGCTAGGTAAGATAGATATAAATATTCTTATCATTTTACATGTAAGAAAGCTAATGTTCAGAACTATTAATTGAATTGACCCAGGTTGTTTTGCTTGTAAATAGAGGAGCCAGGACTTTTTGACTATACATCTTATCCTCTAAGTTAGGCTAAGTAGGAATATTAGTACCCAAATTTGTCAGTGGTTTGATTTTCTAAGAAGTGTTTCTTTACTAAGAAGACAATTCGTAGCACCACTGAAAAAGCCACTGCAACAGGTAATGTCTGTTGGGTATCTAGACTTTGTGCATTTTTCAGGAGGGAGTTGAGACATAGCTCATTCTCTTGGGACATTTGGTCTGAGAACAGTAGCAAGTCTAATGGTTTCCATAGTCACTATTAACTGTCAATGTTGACATTAGATTCAGTGAATTTAGGTGATCATGATGACAGCAGCCCAAAGCAAGCTTCAGGAAATACTACACCAAAAATAAAGAATGTGATGTTTAAGATGGAAGTAGGGAATGGTTGATGAAGGGAAGGTAAAATTTTGCTTTAAATTCTAGCACTATTTCCAAGCCACTATAAGTGTGTTGCATATTTAAGCTGACAACTGACAAATTAAGAAACAGGATTTCTATAACCCACATTGCTCTACTTATGCTGTATAAATCATCATAAAGTGGTGGTAACCACCGATAAAAGAGGAAATTGGGAAGTGACATTTTATTTTATTTGGTGATAAATACAGGAATAAGAGGAAACCTCAAAATATGTATGTCTTTGCAGAAACATGCTAAGGGACAAGATTTGCTTAAACGAGTGTGTGAGCACCTCAATCTTTTGGAAGAGGACTACTTTGGTCTAGCCATTTGGGATAATGCAACCTCAAAGGTGAGGAGACTGATTGTCAAAATACTTGTTTAAATTCTTCTATTGTCGTTAAGAGTGTATTTATGCCTGCCTCTCCAAGATACAGTGTACTTAAGAGTTATTCTTGCCTATTCTTGTTTCTCAGATTTTCCCTCTAGAACATTTTAAAGAAAAGACCATTGCTGTTGTGTTCTTTCATCATTGAGAGAAAGTATCCACTGTACTGTCTTTTTAAAGGACAGGGGAAGTACAGAGCTATGATGTCCTGATTAGCAAGTAGATACCAATAACTTCATATATTATGCAATTAGTATTGTATCTAATAGGTTCATAGTAAATATGTGTTGAATGGATGATCTATCAATATTATAATTATACAATAATTATATATAGTTATAAATTTTTTTTTAAGATTTTATTTATTTATTTGACAGAGAGAGAATGAGAGAGAGAGCACATGAGAGGGGGGAGGGTCAGAGGGAGAAGCAGACTCCCTGCCGAGCAGGGAGCCCGATGCGGGACTCGATCCAGGGACTCCAGGATCATAACCTGAGCTGAAGGCAGTCACTTAACCAACTGAGCCACCCAGGTGCCCCATATATAGTTATAATTTGAGAGTAATGTTATAAAAGAGAATAAGGTCCCAATATTATTGAAACAGCCCTAAATGAATCTGACATTTTCTTCTAGCCCAAAAGGAAGTCAGCAGGTGACTTTTGAAAGAAGCAAAAGAAAGTGTGAAAACATGGAGGAGGAAGGAAAGGTTAAAAGTCAGGTATTTACTTCAGAAAACTTGAATTATTTCCTAGGCCAATTTACTGAAAATTACAAGTATTTAGCTTAAAATCTAGTGATAAAAACTTTAGTCCAGTTTAACAAACCTTTGCAGGTGCTATCCTAGATGATATGGATAGGGCTGTGGATAAGATAGACATGGTCCCTGCCCTCTGGAACTTATAGTTTTGCGTGGCGAGTGTTATATGAAAGGAAATCTAAGATGTCATGACAGGGTATGGCCAGGGAAGTCTTCTCTGGGGAAGTGATGCCTGAGCCGAGAACTGACGGATTAAATGGGCAAGTGAAGTGGAGAGAGAATGGCTTGTATAAAGGCCTAGAATTGAGAGAGTGGCATTGGAGGAACTAGGAGCCTGGCTAAACATAGGAAGTGAGGAACAGAATAAGAGATGAATCTGGAGAGCTACACAGGGGCCAGGTCATGGAGAGAGTTTTGTATACAATGTATTTAAAGTCAGTTTTGTTGGTTCTTTCTCCAAGGTAATTTATATTTATTAAGAAAAGTTAGGCGCAGCAGCCTTTAACAACTGCAGACTCTATAGATTGGATTATTTGGGTTAGATAATGCAAACTTGAAGACATGGAATTGCCCTTTGCCTAAATAAAATCTATTTGTAGAATATACTAGTAGTTACATAGTAGTTTACAATAGTAGTTTGTCCTTCTATGTGAGTGACTGTTGGTTCAAGCAGAAGAACTATGTCTACCAGCACTAGGTTAATATTGTTCTTTTAAGGACTTAATCTTTGTCCTTAAAGGCTCAAACCAACTTGTACTGAAGCCTCTAAGTTCCATTAATAAGGGAAGACTGAAGGTAATTAAAAAACAAAACAATACCTCCAAAACTACAGTGAAAAACATTGAGCAGCTGTGAGCTAGAAAATTATTCAATGAATCAAGGAAAATACTCTGAAAAGTATTTTATGTTGTACAAGCTCAGTGAGATAAAGTTCAATGTTTTTACACTATGGGTGCAAAAAAAAAAAAAAGGAAAAGAAAAGTCCAAGGTTGATTTGAGAATAACTGAGAATGCTTGAATTTGGCATGTCAGTAAAGTCACTGAATACTTACTTAATATAACTGGAAATAATATCTGTGAACCACACATAGTTAAATTTTGAGAAGCTAGCTCATTGATCTAGACATTCAGCAGAGGAAATTCTTTTCCACTTGCAGTTGAGCTTCTAGGGCCCACATTGCTACAAAAACTTTCATTTGCATTGATAACTTTTCACCATTGGTGGTGCCATCCATACTTGTCCTGTCGGTAGGTTTTATTTCCTTTATAATACTTTTCAAAATCATGTATTAAATTGCTTTATTTATATTCATTTAAATATTTATATGTAAAGTGATATGAAAAGTGGCTAATATAAAAGCTGAATAGCAAAGTATAAACCCGGCTGTGTAAAAAAGGGCATTATTAGCCCTCTTAGATAAAATATTTCTAGAAGAGAAAAGCTGTTGTTTCAGAATCATAATCTAGTTTCAACTTCCCTGATAGTTTATAAGAGCCCCTTTTGGGGAAATCAGTGGGCAAGTGAATCCTGGGAAACATAGGGCTTATCATATTCAGGGCATTTGTCAGGTCTATAGTAGGCTCCAGGTTCTTACAGGATATCCAAGAGGAACATGGTTAGAGGTGATGAACTGTTCTATATTTTCTGCTTTTAAATTCAGTGTGACCAACCTCCAGCTCTGAGAAATATGTCAAAGCAGAGTTTTTCTTTGGGTTAAAATGAGGGTCTTTGGGCTGATCGGGAAGTAGGGCATAGAAGGGAAAGCAGATACTTGCCAAGCAAATCTTGTACAAAAATGAATTTGGGGAAGACTTACCTTAGCATTGTCAGGTTAAAAGGCCAATACAATAGCAAAAGCCATCTTGGTGATGACAGTCCTTCAATATGCTATCTCTTGAGTCATACTTCTTTAGTATGGATGAATTGCGCTCTCTGCTCATGCATAGCTGTCCCTGGTATTTCCCATCACCATCATCCTGGGGATTTGATTTGCCTCACTTCTGTGATGTTTCTCCTGTTTCCTTTGTCCTAGCTTTTCCTTGTGTTTTGATAGAGTGCTTCTTCTAAGAAATGACATGTGAGACATAATCTTTTTGAGACATTATATGTCTGAAAAATGTCTTTATTCTACCCTCACGTTTGGTTGTTAGTTTGGTTGGGTATAGAATTTTACACTTGAAGTTATTTGCCATCATAATTTTGGTGGCATTACTCCATTGTCTTCTAGTTTCCAGTGCTGCTCTTGAGAAGGCCAAAGCCATTCTGATTCATGATCTTTTGTGTGACCTTCCCTTTGTAGAATTAAGCTAGTAAAATCTTATTGTCTTCCTCCCTTCCTTCCTTCCGTCCTTCCCAAAATGGAGGTACGAATTTAACTTAAAACAATACGGAGAGACCCTGTTTCCCCACACTCCTTACCAAACCACAGTGGCAGCAGACTTTTTATTCTTACCATATGAATAGGAGAGGAAAACCGGAGCCAGGACTTGCTTTGGAACCACAGTTCCAAGTCCATGGTTTGGAGCCCAGTGCTAACTCTCTGTGGATGATCTCTTCCCCTTCCCAAAACAGGTGAGGAAAGAGTTCCTCAGCCTTGTAAGTTCGAGCCCAGCATGGAGCCAATCTCCTTGCCAGCCCAGCTTAGAAATGCCACCTCTTTACTGACCCAGGCTGGTGGCAGAGGGGACCATGAGCTAAGGGGAGGGCTCACTCATGCTGCCCTGGACTGTCAGCCTGATGCTAGCTGCGTTGGGATGAAGGAGCAGGACGGGTCTTTGGCCAAAGGCCTAGGTTCAGCTTGGAGCAGCGATGGTGGGCTGTGGCCTGGTTGCCTGGCACCGTGGGGGGTTGTGACACAGGCTTTGTGCAGCCAGTCTGGAGGGGAATGAAAAAGCCTTGTGGCAGTGTGGGCAAGGAGAGGGGTGGGCATTGGTGGCACAGTGTGTGTGGCCATGGGCTGCAAGCTTGGAGGGATAGCAGAAGGCCTTGGGGTGATTGGGGCATGGATTGCAGGGGAGGCCGCCATGTGCCAGCCGGGTACATGGCCAGCTTGGGCCTGTAAGAGAAAGCCTTGTCACAGGAACAGCAGCAGTGTGGGCGCTGGGCCGGGGCTGCTGGTGGTCCAGGGAAGGCGCCCCCGCAGAAGTGGCAGGCCCTGGAACCAACTGGCTGGGCTTCTGCGGTGAGCCCTGGTGGGGCGCTGCTCCCTTGGTTACTGGTTCCTTGCCAGTGGGACTAGGATCGGTGTCCCAGCGGTGGACTCTGCATCTTGTTCCAGCATCTTGCTGGCCCAGGAACCCAGAGGGAGGGAGGCGACGCTGGGGATTATCAGGCTGATGGGGATAGGGCTGTAGGGTCCCGGTCTTGGTTTAGTCTCAGTCCACTGACACCACGTGAACTGCTTCCTTCTTGTTGCTAAATTTTATCCCAGGCGTGGAGGGTGGAGGGTGGAGGGGGGACCTGTGGAAGGCTGCTGCGTCTGCTGAGCTGCCCTTGGACACAGTGGAGTTGCTCCGCCCATCATGCTGTTCGATTTCGTTTTAGTCACCATTACCTATGTATATCTACTGGCAGTAAGCCAGATTTCCAGATACTCTCTTTAGAAGTATACAGAGATTCAGGAAATGCTTAAATGTGTAAAGCCACTAATGTTTGTTAGTTTGTTAGTTATTTATCCAAATTTTCTGTCATTCTGAAAACACAAAGGGTACTAGAGTTACAAAATCTCCTGGGGTTCAGTCCGCTCATTTTAGAGATGAGAAAACTGAAGCATATAAAGGCAGAGTGGCTTCCTCCCAGTCCATTCCCTCCTGAAATTCCTTGCCTCCTACTCCTTCCTAAATGATTTTCTTCTTCAGCTTTTTATTCCTCTTTCCTTGAATTTTACGTTTTGTTTTTGTTTCTTGGTTTTTGTTTCCTACCTACAGAATTAGTTCCTGTTAAATTACAAAAATTCAACCAAGTAAATTTTAAAGATCTAATTGCCTTTAGTAATCATTTCATGAATTGGGCAGCGTTCCACCTAGCAAGTAGAGGGGAGCTCTGAAGGTTTACAGGAAAGCAAAGGTTTTTTAAGGTAAAGAGGGAATGGAAAAGAGGAAATTATTAGCAAAGAATCCACTCTTTTAGGCAAGGTCACCCTCCAAGGGGAACAGAAAGGGCCTATTAGTAAATATCTTAGTGCTGACCAGGAAATTCCCATGTTGA